TAGTTCTGGGAATAACCAGAAGCTGATTTAATAATCTGAAGTCATCCAAGACTCTGCTAAATCCCAAGTGAAACCTAAGTGATTCTGCCTTGCTCTTGTCTCCAAGGAGCAAGTGACTGCAACACAATGAATTTTTAAGGCTGGAACTTAAATGCCAAGGCAGTCACTCATTTAGGTCCATCCAAGGACCAGGCAGGGGAATTGGTCACTGGAACGTCTCTCTCTACCAAGCACAGAAAATGAAGCAGCCTCTGCTGTGAGGCAGCACTTGTCACACAGGGACAGGGACCTGCCTACAGATGGAACGCTGCTCTCTGACTGCCAAGGCATGACTTTGGGTAGGCGGCATGGGCTCTCCGGTCCCAAGTTTCCTCTTCTCCAAAACAGAGATATGATATACAAGTGGGCTGAGAGCCTTGCAGAGAGGTGCTATCGCTGTTACAGGGAATTATCATCCCAAGGTTCAGGTCCAAACCACACAGCAAAATGGACAGCCATTCCCTCAAAGGACCCTGGCTCTGGCACTCAAGCCAAGAACAAGCTGTATGTGTTCTCCGAGCTTCAGGTTCACTGTTACACTTTCACCTTTCTGAACAGCAGTAGGTGCAAAAGAACCAAGAGGTTGAGCCTCAAAGCCCAACTAAAATCACCAATAATGAAATAATCTCCTCCTAGATGGTGTATGACCCAGTTTTTGAGCCTCCTGTGAATTACAATCAAAGCCATTTGTACAGTCATAAATATCAGAAATATTTACAAAATGCAGACAAGATCTTAAAAACAAAGCAGTGATTTCTCCATCCCACTGGAAGCCTTACAAAACATGGGGTAAATAGTCTCAATTGAAATATTCTGCTGACCATAGAGGGCTGTATGCTTCATTTGTAATGGTTAGTCATTCTATACATATGTACTGCTTCAGTTGTCTACTACAGCTACTCAGAAACTATTGCAAGGCAAAGATTGGGAAGCAGGGCCATTAAAAATTTTGTTTATGCAAAATCCAGTGTGGTCATAGCACTGGTACAACGGAAAAAGTAAATCAAACCCCCATCCAAACAATTTCTGGCTGGCATAGCCAGAGACATCTAGGAGACCAGGAAAGGCTTGTAAAAGTGGCTAATTTAATGTTCCTGTGAGGAGTCTGTGCTGGGATACATCCCTGCTTTCATATTTTTCTAAAAGCCTAAGCAAAACAAACAAAATCCCAAGCACTTGCGCACAGAAACCTCACCTGTGGCTTTTTCTACAAGTCTCATAAGGAAAATTTGTAGGTGCTGCAATCCAGCCAGGCTGTTGAGGCAGAACACGAGCTTCCTGCAGATGCCAGCTGGCAGTACAGCCTCCCTTCCCAGTGTGTCACCCAGGGAGCTGATGTCCTGTCCTTGTAGATTCAGTGTGTACCATTAGACCAAGGCTTCAAAAGTAATTGAGCCCCAGGCTGAAGTCCCAAGCAGCTCCCAGGTCCTTTGGGTGTCAGGACACCTTGAGGATGTTCAGCTCTTAAAGACACGTCTGCTCTTCTCATCTTCAGCACAGAAGGCACAAAGCAACACTGTGAGATGTACCAGGGTCCTTACCTTACACACCAAAAATCCCACAATGGAAAGACAGAAAAAAAACTTATCAAGACCACACTGTTTATAACTTTTTTTTAAGCTTATTTCAAGTTTATCAAATAATTAAGTTCTTACAACAGTGGATTAAAAAAAAWATAAAAAAATGACAGGTGTGCAAAGTTATTTGGCACTTTCTAAAAAGGACTGAGATGTTCCTGCTAGAAAAATGCAGTCAAAGGAGTAAAGGCTTCCATTTAGTTCTGGTTTGGGTTCAATTACAAAGCAAATGGTTCAGTTTCAGCTGTGCTGTGAATTCAGTGGAATTGCATTCTGGTCTAGATTTCATTTGAGGAAGAGGAATACACATATATTTAGATTGGTCTTTTTTTGTATTTTGTTTTGCTCAAAAAGGATAGGCATTATTTCATCTTCCTCTTCCTCTCCCCTTATTTAATTGGAAAATATGAAAGGTCAGAATGCCAGTGTTTCCCTAATCACACACCATCAATACTAGCACAGATCACGGGCAAAGGTCTTGCTTCTAGGGTTTCATTCCTGGGTTTTCTAAATCGAAACCGAAGCAGCCACCATTTGTGAAAAAGGTCAACATCTGTCCCAGTCTGAAAAAATTCTGGTTGATTTCAATGAACTTTGAACCAGATCCAGATTTTCTCTCTGTACCCTGCATTGTACTTCAGATGAGAGAAAACTTGAGAGAAAACTTAAGAGAAAACCCTAGTAAGAAATGTTCCCCATAAGGAAAATAATGGCCTTATTTATAGGACTATTTAATATGTACCATAAATATGTAAGCAGTCTTATTTTACATCCTCTTATCAAAAGTTAAAGCAGAAAAGCATGTATTTGACACTTTTGTAAAGATCTCACCATTGATGCTGGAGCAGGAACAACCACAAATTATAAAACTCTTGTTCTACCATATTTATGCCCTTACAGAGACATGACTGTTATTAAAAGCTCATAGGAGATACCTCTAACAGCTGTAAACAACAGTGCATCCTTGAATAGACAAAAAATTTAGAGGCTTAATTAACTTTTCAACACTGCTGAGCACCAGTGCTTGTGAGAGGTCAAATCTTTAAGCCATCTTTTGCATATCAAGTTCAAATGCCTATATTTTGGATGCTTACTATTGAAAAGAGAATTTGTTAGAGCAAAAGCCTTCCTATGGAAGGGGTTACTGACATCTCCCAGTGGAAGCAAACAGCACCAACATGTCTAGGGCAATGCACACTGTGTCACTTGAAAGCAATACACTTTCAAAAGATAATTGAAAATGAGGACCTGCTGCAATACWAATACACATCAGGGCAGTTCACAACATCTGAGCAGCTGCAGCTCTATGGAGACCATAAGGCAGCACATTTTTCTTGTCATACCTCATTCCTTTTCCCATGAAGCTAGAAAAGAACAGGTCAGAATCTATGCCGAATGGTGGAAATGTTCTTTCTGGATTCCTTTCAGGTTACTTAAAATTTAATCATAATGTTTAAGATGATGAAAAAAAGCAACAACGCATATTTAATGTTTCTGTTTAGACTCCTAATATCACACAGAGCAAGGCATTCACAGAAAAAGAYGATGAGCCTGAATTCTGTGTCCCGAAGACCTGCTGTACATCAACTGTGACACTGAGTATTAAAGAAATCAGCTACACGTGGTGTGGGTGCTCACACATCACACACTGCAAAGCAAAGTTGAGGACTCTGACTCTCATAATTGTGCTACATACAAAGATTAACTGGAGCATCTAAGTGGGTCTTTTYTTCAGAGAGTATCTACACAGGTGGAAAGTGTTCCTCTTAGGCACTTAGATTGAGCTTAAGACATTTGAAAAGCTTAGAACAGGCCTTAATCATGACAGATAGCCCACCAAACAACCATTCTTCCAACATATTGAGAGCTCTTTCAATAGATACCTCTTTATTTGAAATGGAATGTATCTTGAAAAATATGAAAAATAAATCACATCTCTCAGAAATCATGAGTCATATTTACACACAAATTCTTTTGACGACACTGGTATTTCTGATCACAAGAGGATATGCTAGAAAACATTTGGTACATCACTGCAGTTATAATTCAGAARCTGACATTTGCATATCATGAACCTTAAAAAAGAGCAATTACTTCAGGATGTCACGGAAACAACATCCACTTGATCTTCCTTTTCCCCCCCGTTTTCCAAATTGTCTTGGCCTCTTGCTAACCACGGCTTGGATTTTCTAGCTGAATCTGCCCCTCAATTACTTTTTTTTTTTTTTTTTCAATTAAGACAAGTAATTTTGACCTCTTTATGAATGGACTGTCCTCACTTTTGCTATCTATACCAAGCATTTGCCTCTGGGTGTTTTACTGGCATTTGTTTATTCTCTAATGAATTTACTTCAGCCATATGCTGTCAGATTTTTTTTTTTTTTTTTTTTTTTTTTTTTTCTCACCAGAATAAATAATTAAAGCATTCTTGCACGAATAGTGCAAGTTAAAGATGTATGTTAATAAGAAAAGGTCTTCCCTAAAGTAGGTTTTTTTTTTTTTTTTTTTTTTTTTTGGAAGAGGAAGGACAACTTGCTTTATTTAGTTGCAAAGCTCCAGTAAGACAGAGCATGATGTGCTAAACCTATTTTCATAGCCATTGCTTACAAGGCAGTAATAGTATTAAATCCAAAAGTTCAAATGAAGACTGTATAGTAATAGAGGGGTAAGATGAAAAAAAAATAAAACCTGAAGCACCTTTTATGACATCAAACAATTTCTTGTCTAAAAAGAAATCTAAAATTACTATCAGTTAAGGGGAAAAAAACCCCAAATACATGGAATTCAGAGCGTGAGAAAGTTGTCAGACTGTCTCCATCAGACAATTTAGCCTTATTTATACTGACAGGGCATGAGCCCGAATGTCCCCAGGGGACCCCAGCCAGTTTGTTCCCATTCAGTTTCCAGGAGACAGTTCAGAGACACAAGGGAAAAGTTTGATCCTTATATTCATCCCACCAACTCAAGCTGGAGGTCTCAAGGTGGATTTTATGATGTGACTACCTCTCACACCAGGACTCTGGATGACACAAAGGTTTTTAAATAGGTAACACGGCAGACGATGACAACCAGCAAAAGTTTCTTGAACTACAGCAGTGCAAAAGGTTTTCAGAGCATCCTTCAGGCCAACTTAAAACAAAAAACGTAACTTAAAAGTGGGACATTAGCCTCGAATCAGTGAAAAGGAGCAGCAAATCCAAAATGAAAGTTGTTTCCTTATATCTTCATGGCAATTTTATCACTAAAATGATCATCTTTAGATTTCAAAGTACTTCCAAAGAATAGTAAAATTTTACCTTTAGAATGCATCCATAAACTTTTGTGGAATTCAGAGGCATCCACTGAGAACAAGAATAACTGCCTCTCTCAGAGAAATACATGTGATCAAATAAGAATTAACTTTCATCAGTTACATTTACCCTTCAGTAGGCCAAAATGTATTTTAGTAGGTGAGATCAGCAATATATCTGTATACCTGAGAAGGTGGATTAGTTACTCAGTAAACTGTAATTAATCACTCTAAAGAGAGGAGCCAAATTACAAATTACAGTATATTTTGTGAGTCTTTGACTAGCTCATTAGAGAATCCCCTGGCAGCTCTAACATCCAAGCGTTAGCAGAATGATAATGGCAGATGTATAGAGATGCGGAAATTGAGTATTATGATTGCCAAGCCAGCGAACCTAATCCTAGAAGATGCAGGGCACCTTCAAGTTCAATTAATTGCAAAATAATGACTTCGTTAGGACAGCTGTAATCTACCACCCCAAGCTCATCACACAGCCTTGTCAAGGGCCAGATCAGAAATAAGCGCTCAGGAGAAACTACAGAGGATCATCAGGGCTTTGGTTCTGCACCATGATGTGTTTTCCTTGTCTAGGTATGTGACCCTGACACTTCGGGGAAGGAACGAAAGAGGAGGACTAATAGAGACCTCAACATACTCCTCACAGGACTGAGCTTAATCTTAGGGTGCAGAGGAAGAGACCGACRTACACAGTAGCCAATTCTAAAATCTCCTTTGAGTATCACTTCAGCCTTTTGCTTTAAACACTTACAGAAATAAGCTTGCACTGAGAATGTGAGGCTCTTGCTGTCAAGTTACACCTCATTTACACAAAAAAAAGAAGTCCTGGATGTGTAGCTTTGAAAGAGTTTGGTTATATTAACGTAAATTATAAAGGGGTCAAAAGCCACTTTCCTCCCCACACTAGTTTAAGTAAATAGCTCCATGATTTTTCTTTTTACCTTGAACCAGAGAAAACGGGCCACATTGCTCTGTCCCACTCACAGCCTCCTCACTTCATTTAAACCAGGAAACCTGGGCAGTAGCAGCACCCAACATGAAGCCACCCATGGTCAGAAGGGCCCTGTCCTAGAAAGTCCACCGGCCCACACCCAGCTCCTTCCTCTGCACTGGGCAGAGAGCTCCGACCCGCTCCCGCCTGTGCCGGCAGCAGAACTCCCACTGACTTTTAAGAGGCAGAGAAACACACACCAGCTGTGCAATTAGCCCTTTGTTTTCCAACTTCATGGCTTCATCAACGTTTTTAGAGGAAAGATGGCATGCCTCTCTCCATATCTGACAGTGCTAAACACCAAAATTAATCTAGTTCATCTCAGCTAGAGAGCAACTTTCAGCTTATGAAAACTGTGACCAAAATAATCCATTTGCAAACTAAGACATACATAAAATGGATTTTAAGCTATGGGCTGCTTTAATGCAAGACATTTTAAAAAAGCCAGGAAAATGCAACATGGTTTGAGAATCCAGATCGCATAAAAGCTGAGCRTGCAGAGGGAGCCCTGAACTCGGACACTAAGAAATGTTCATGAACACTTCCCAGCTGTGGCCCACCAGCCTAGGAACAAGCACATCACACGGATAGCTGGAATCCAACTCAGATTCCTRTATCACAAAAGAAATTGGTTAGATTCCTTCCACTCATACACTAACCAGATTGGTTTTAATCTCAGAATGACAAGCAACGTCACTTTTTTGAATAGCCAAGCATGAATAACATTTTATCACCTTCTGCCACATTTAATTTTTTCTTTTTTAAATAATTTAAACCTCAGACAATGATTGTTGTTCTCATTAGAGAAAATAGGTTTCATATGCAGTAGGGGTTTCAGCGAAATTTTGAAACACACATCACATTTTCCATGTTAGTGGAATATAGTGTATTTTGGGCAAAAAACAAATAACTTTGTCAAATTGCACACAGTCAAAGTACTCAGAACTTTTTAGTTCTTTTAGGGAGCTAAAACACATATTGTTTTTTTTCCTTTACTTTTTTGATCCGGCCTACATTCAGAAATGTCTTGCACATAAGCCTTAAGGAAAAAAAAAAAAAAAAAAAAAAAAAAAAAAAAAAAAAAAAAAAAAAAAAAAAAAGGAAAAAACCAAAACAACCCTAATAAATAAAATAAAATACATTAAAATAAAGTTACAGTACATCATGTCTCCTAGAAGTCCCATCGCACCAAAGGATCCTTTCCAAGGTTCATAAATAATGAATTTGAAATGCTTCTCGGCACCGAAGGCGGCAAAGCAGCAGCAGCAGCCGGCTGAGGTTCAGGCTATTGAGCCGCTTCTCTCCGGTCTACCTGAACCTCCGGCGTCTGCCCAGTTTCTGAGCCCCTGAAGCAGGTCCGCCACGAACGCGCTCTGTCCCGCTTCCCCGAAGCGCTCGGTGAACGTAACCTGCAGTGAGACAGAGAGCACAGAGCGCAGCCCGTCAGGTGAAGAGGCGGCGGCCGGAGCCGGCAGCCCCGCGGGGCCGGTGCGGCGGTCGCGGTGCCGGGTCCGTACCTGCGCTAGGCGGAGTTGGAGGCGCCGCGGAGGCGCGGGCCGTGGGGCGACGCCAGGTGCTGCTGCTTCTGCCGGGTGGAGCGCACGGCCAGGATGGCCTGGCGGTTCTTGTACTGCACCATCTGCAGCGTGATCGCCGCGTTCCAGCCCTGCTCCTGCGCGCACCGAAAGTCGATCTCCTTCCCCTCGGCCATCACCACTGTGAAGTACACGTACTTGCCCTTCCGCTCCACGCAGTCCACCGTCTTCATGTTGGAGAAGTGAAGCTCCTTGATCTTGGCTGCCGGCTCGGCTGGCGGCGCTGGCTGCTGCTGCTGCTGCGGCTGCGGCGGGGGGTGCTTGGGGGGGATGAGGAGCAGCCCCTCCTCGGTGAGGATACAGCGCTTCTTCTTCCAGAGCTGCAGCAGCCCGTCGCTCCTCTTCTCCAGCATGCCCTCCTTCACCGCCTTACAGCCGCTCTCCAGCATCCTTCTGGCGGGGTTAGACGGCCTCCGACCGCAGGGGCTGGGCTCGGGGGGCAGACGGCACCAGCCGAGCACTCTCCGCCGGGCGCCGGCTCCGAGGCGGAGGGCCGGGAGCGCCCCGGCCCGCAGGAAGCGGAGCGGCTGCCGCCCGTGCCGCGGCGTGGCGAGCTGCGGGCGCTACCGGTGCGGGCGGCCGGGGTTGTCGGCGGGCTTTTCCCTCCCCTTCGCTTTTGAACGCGCCTCTCCCACCCCAGAGTGACACCCAGCGGAAACGGCGGCTCCTCCCGCCCGCCGGCCGCGGGGAAGCCCAGCGCGGTGAGAGGCAGCGGAGCCGGGAGGCGCGGCGGGGCCGCCCGCGAGGCGGAGCGGGGGGATGCGCTCCCCGGCTGCAGCGAGCCCGGCCCCGCTCCCCGCCCACGGCCGAGCACGGCGGGGCTGCCGAATCAAGGGGCTCCCCGCCGTAGTTTAACCACCGCWAGGGTAATAGAGATTAAGGAGACGGCAAATGCCCTATCGCGCTCGTTTGCCTTCCTCGGGGCGTTCCCGCAGTATTTAGTTAAAACGATTCCTCAGCCTGCCTCCTTGGGCAAGAGCAATGTTTTTGATTCAAGCCCAGTAAAACTGGTGCCAGTTTTCAGTAGCACACTGGTATTTAAGCGATCATCGCTCCGTTAAACAAAGGAAAGAGCCTTAACCTGGTRCAAGAGCTTGATTCCCTACGCCAGGCTGGGGAGAAGTAGCTTCAACTGTATATATACAATAAACCTTTCTGCAGCAGTTTGAGTAATGTCTAAAGAAAGCAAGGATCTGTACCATTTTCCTAAGGGAAGAGTGGAACCTCAGTACATGGAAATTGCAAAAGCAGACTATGGGGGGGAAAAAAACCCCCAACTGGCCAAGAGCTAGGAGCCTTTTTCTTATTATTCTGCTTTGTTGTCGCACATTTGCTTATTGTTTGGATTCTCCCCCAAGGTTAGCTTTTGATYAAGTTTGAGTAGAAAAGTAAAGTGACCTAGAGTTAATATAAAACCATTTAATTTTTAATCCTTTAATGTATTAGATGTAAATCCAAATCCCACATAGCTGAATTTGGCTGACAAAGCCTATGCAAACAAAATGCCAGGAGTTTCATACTATGTCTGACAGCACTGTTTTTAAACATGCATTTATCATGACCATAAAGAAAACCCTCCAGACATTAATCTTGGCAACTAGGAAGTAGATCATGCTGCAGCCTGTGCTGTGTTCTAACAGCAGATTAGAAAAAAAATTCAACATTAATGATAGCTTCAATGGAGTTTATCTCTGATAACATTTTTTAAAGGATTTCCTCTTATAATCTTTTTCTCTTGAAGTTCAAAGTTGATTTTGATAAATTGTTGAGAGGTAAACAAAGCAATAAAAGCAATTAAAATATAGCTGCTTTATCGTTCCTGAGGTAACTGAAAGACACTCAAATCAGTAATAAAGGCAACTTGACCAGCCATAAACCAAAAAAAAAAAAAAAAATTTAGTATCTTAAAACATCCACTATTTATACAAATAGTCCCTTCTCCATAGAGCTGAATAGACATTGTAAGATACAGTTAATTCTCACAACCATCTTACACCTAACAGAGGAACACACTAATTTTCAAAAGATCTGAACACCATTCATAATTGCCTCCATCAGCAGTTCACTCCCATTTGAAGCTGAAGTCCCCAGCACAAATATCTGCATCTCCAGCTGCTGCTGCTGCATATACAAGGTGTCTCCAAAACAGCTTAAGCAACACAAGAAAACTCCTGCCTTTTCACCTGATGTRTTTTGCACCTATTTCTTTGCTCCAGATTAAGTCCCTGCTCATATGATACACAATTTTGAAACTACCCTACTAAAACAAATTGGTTAAAATGCATRCACCTATACAGAGCAGCTTAATTAAATCACTGAGTTTGTGTAAGGCATAGGACACTAGACTAAGCCTACAGAAGACTAACTGCTAGCAATCAACCTGTTGACAGAAGACCAATTTCTAACAATTTACCTGTTCAATTTTGGTTGCTGCTTCACTGCTGTAAGCAAACAGCCACTTGATTCCAGGTAAATGCACTAACCAGTAGTGCAGAAACTCGTATTAGATTTGAGAGCCACGTTACACTGTAATAAGCATTCAAAAGTCTCCCCCCCACCCCCACAACACTGCACTGTGACACTTAGAAGACATTAACACACAACCTATATCTACATAAGGATGTTAACACACCACCTGTATCTGTATCATTRAATGTGAGCTATTTCAATTGTTCTCAGTATTGACAGTAAAATGCAATTATTCAAATGAAAAAAGTGAGACTAGTGCGGAAGGCCAAATACATAAATTAATTCAACTGTGCCCTTACATGATAAAGTATTGAATGTCAGATTTTTAACCCAACTCCAAACACTGATGGACATACTCTACTARTACTCACTAATACTCACAACACTGTTTATTCCTGGTGAAATTCACCTGAGCATGTGGTCAAAAGCAAACATGCAAAACATCCATCCAAACCTGTACTCTGTAAGCCAACAAATATTAATAGCCATTTAAAATACACCATGTTTGACTAAGAACACCAGGTCAAAAGCCAGAAGACTAATGTAAGATGAAATACTGACAGTTCCGTGATAAAAGAATGCAATAACCCAGTTGTGCAGAATTTGCCAGTAAAGGATAACAAACTGCATTTTCCTAGACGCAAGTCAAAACTGAACTTCTGTAAACGTTTCTTACATTACTACTTTGAAAAACCACATACAACACAGGCACACTACAATACACCACTGAGATTTTACTTCACTTTTCTTGAAATATAAATTTAAACCACTGCATTTGTTTTAAATGCTTCACATCTGCTACATTTATTGACGTTTTCGTAAATACTAGGCAGGTTCGGCAGCCATTCCTCCAGAAATAGCTGATGTAAAGATGCCTCCTACTGTTAAATGTGAAATAGTACAGTCTGAAAAAAAYATCGAATCTGATCCTTGGAAGTCTACTTCTCAAATATGTGTATTTTTTATTGAATTTTTCCTTTTCCACATTCAAAGTTGATACTTGCACAAATATCTGTTTGCTGAATAAATACAGTTTATCATACTGGTCTCCTGTATGGTAATCTCCCTAACTGAGATTCAAGTGGTTGAAATTTTTAATGTGCAACCTTAATTAAAGGGTAATTATAGTAAAAAAGTATTTAAAATGTTCTTTTTAAACCCTGCGGCAAGTTAAACGTTGTTTTGGGAAGCCAATGTGAAAACCTAAAAAGCCCATAATTTTACTAGTGTTCTCCTAGGTAATGATTTGCAGCCAGCAGCTCAACAATCAACTTTTAGTGTCAGAGGGATGGTAAACCCCATCCCAACTGACAACCCTTAAGCATCATCATTTCTTCTATTGCTGAGAAGTGGCKAAAACAGAAAAAGGGTTAAGAGGGTAACTTACAAATTATTTATGAGCTGGTCACTGCTAGACAGAAGGAAAATGAGGAAAAATAAGTCAGGGGAAATTTCATGAGAAATACATGACAAATTGATGTGTTGCAACAGTTAACAATATGATTAAATTAATATGTATGCAATGTGATTAAAGCAAGTAGACAGTTAAGYAACTAACCCTTAAAGAATTTTCTTAACCATTACTATCTATCTCCCAGTAATTTCCCCTGGAACTTGCTCCTGAAAGAACACTGAAGCACTGAACATGTGATTTTGGGAGCAGACTTTTCCTCTCAGGAACTCCCATTTCACAGACACTCCTCAGTAAACCAAGCATAAACAGATGAAATGCTTACCTTAACTAACAACCACACCACCTTAGCAGTCCCTAAACCCCATGGCAGTATCAAATAAAGAAACTGTGGGCGATTCACCAGCTATTGCAGCAGCTTCTCCAGCCTGGCTTTTTCAAAGTCCTTTGCACTTCCAAGATAGTTGTTTTCCAAAAATATACCAACCTAAAGAATGTTGTAGAGAAAAACCAGGCTGTAAAGTGGCTTTTAAGCTTTTCAGATTTGACCACTGCAGTAAAACAAGCTATGAGTTCAGAACAGTTTCTCCAGTGCAGGGCAAATGTAAATCTGAGCAATAGCTTACCAAACCCTTGAGCACACAGAAGCAAAGCACCCAACAGCAAGTTCAGGACTTAAGGCCCTCCTGCAGCATGCTTAAGTTAAGACATCTGAGAACACAAAAGCCCTTCTGCCACAGCCCCTCATGCCATGTACGCCCATTTCTGGTTTACACCAGGCAGAGGCAAATATGGAATAGCTTAGTTGTGCTTGGTATGCTTTGCTGTTTGCTTYACTCACTCTGATTTTCCAACAAAAGCTGAGACACATGCCACACGTGGAAGACTACTAGGCCTGAGCAAAGGTCTGACCAGAGGATTCAAAGAGCAACAAGACAAATGCCTTGTGGACAAACTTTTAACTCCTCTTGCTAGTGCATTGAACTAAGACTTAGTATTTTCAGTAGATAATTTATGTTCACTTTAGGCAAGCATTAGCAATTAAACGTCATTAACTTCAACAACCTCTTGAAAACTTGTGGGGAACCTTAAACAGGTTATTGAGCAGTTGTTAAGAAATTAAACTGGAGATGTGGTTACAACAACTTCTCTGACCTGTAAAAGAAAGTCTTGGATTGAAGACCACACCTGCACAGAACAAAGGAGAAAGCACTCTAGAGCCGAGTCTACCTACACCAACATCCATGCACCTCTAGTCCCAACCTAGCAACCATCAAAGCTGTTCATGCTTTCATTATAAGGCTGTCCCCTTTGTACTCAGTGGTTTAGCATTTTGCTTCCTTAAGCTGCTGAGAATGCCAACCAGCACAATCCTCTGCCCAACAGAAGGCATTTGATAAACAACTGCTGCATAGAGACCTTTGGAAACAGGAAACCTTTAGCAGAAATTTCATCATTCATCAGTATGAAAGTTTCCTATCAATTTTGAATAAGGTCTACAGCAACAGGCGTTAAAACACAAGGGAAGTTTGAGTACCAGCTTGAAGACAGAGATGTAATACATTAATTTTTCTGCGTTTTTCTATATTCTAATGGTTTTTTTCATTTAAAAAGCAAAAAATGTCAAAATTACACTATCTGCTATTTGTTTCAGAAACATCAATTTCAAGAACCCAGAACATAGTCTAAACTTATGAAGCCAGGAGACATTGGTAAGCAGTGTTGCTATGCCTAGTGTTCAGATACTCCAAGCTAACCGTTCCAACTGCATCTGACATCATCCTTCTCCAAAAATTTGAACTTCAGAATGCTAAGCTTAAATCTGGGCTCCTTTACTTCAGGATGCTGCTGAATTTTTTATTTAACATGAACAAACTTGTATCAGATAGGCAAACTCATCAGTGGTTACCTAATCTAAATGATTAAAAGCAATTACAATGAAGAAATCATCAAGAAGCCTTCCTCTCCATGGAGCGTAAACCCTGAGCACCCTTCACCTGTCATCCAAAGTCTCCCTTTATTCTCCTCTCCTCATCAACCTCCCACTTTCCCCCCGCCGACATAAGTTCTCCATTCAATACAGCAACCAAAACCGGACAGAAGAAACCCTTTACACAGACACTAAATTATGGTGCATTTCTGGAATTGCTGCTGAAGAATTCTATTCCAGCAGCACGTTTTCCTAGCCTGAACCTGTGAACAAGATAACTTAMCCTCCTCAAATACTGAATGAGGAAATTCTCTACACCTGGCATAAATGAAAAGTGAAAAGAATGAGTCACAACACTCCAATAAATGTTATAAGTTTAATGTTCCTGCTACATACTGCCTTTTAGAACTGCTAAACAAGAGTGTCATTGATAACAAAACTACAGAAAGCACCAGAACAGTTTTAATTTAACCAATGCCGTAAGAACTGGCATCTCATTTATATTATGTCCTTCCTTTTGCTGCCGTCCGGAGAGCACAAGAACTGCCGATTTAGAACTAGCATGTCAATCTGGAGTACAGCTTACCAAAATTTGTCAATAGGATGTTATTCATGGCCCTGGATCTTGCAGGCTGCAGGTGTGCTTTGACATCTAACAACACCCCTTTTCAAATACTGTATCCCGTTGTATGTTATGAAAGTGTTAAACAAGAAAATAATTATAGAACAAGCCAAATTTGTTAAGTAGAGTGTATTTTGAAACTTACAACTTTTAACAGTTAATTTTCTTTTTAAAATACAATTACTAGATGCTGTTAGCAAAAATGGGCTAGATCTAAGTAAGGACTTCAGAGACTTCCCATGTCCAGAAGTATGAATGCCAAAGCCTCATCTTAATGAATTCTCAAGCTYATAATATACCATCACATTTTGTCTCTACGTGCCATGAAATTTAAACTTAACCTTGGAAGATGTTTAGAGCAGAGACCATGTAAAACCCAAACACCTGGCAGGGTCAGTGCCTCAAAAGATAACATATTCTGATACCACAAAATATAACCACATCTATTTCAACACAGCTACTAAAAAGTGGTTGTTAACCTTTTATAACTGCTTTTTCTGTGCTGTGATCTGTGTTACCTAAAAAACCTACAAGATCACGSCTTCAACAGTCCAGCTATATGTACATCTGTAGATAACAAGCTCCTTCTCCCAAATTYATGGATACACAGAGAGGAGCAAGATGAAGCCTGACAGGAACTCTGAAATGAAGCAAAGTGATATTTATATCTTCAAGGAATTAAAAAGAAAAATCACTAACAAAACTAGAACAGTTTAGTCAGAAGACACTAGACACATCTTTTGGGGGGGGGACTGAGGATTCAGAAGGGCACTTGGGAGAAGCTTCATTCTATATTACTTACCCTCCAAGCAAGAAATATGCGAGAAACTCTTCCATCAGCCCCATCCTCATGTGGTCATTGCCTCCTGCTTGCCCTGCTCTTTTCAAACCTGTATGGCTATGTGTATAGACAGCACAGATAAAAAGCAGCTACTGCAGAAATAGATCCATGGCTAGCTGGACATTTCTTCCAGCACTACAAAGATCCTTCCATCCCTGAAAAAACTTGCTATCTACTTGCTTAGAAGATCASAACTTATATACTTCTGTGAAGGACAAGACAGCACAGAGTACAGCAGCATGCTACTGACTGGAAAAACTCAAGACAGAATACATCTGTTCATAGTCTCTTTCAGCTGAGTACGTCAAATCCATACCTCATTGAGCACCTCCAATGCGAGGCCAGAGGCAAGGTCAGAACAAGAAAGATCTAGCCCATGTGTTTCCACTGACAAAAATATCCAATATGGACAAAGTATGAACCAGAACGTGCAAACAGAAGCACAGAGAACAGAACATTACATGAAGAAAGTGGAATTCCTTTGGGTCTTTTTCCTTGTAGATGCTTGATACAGTGAGGACAAACTAGAATACAGTCAAGTGTTCCTGCACTCCCTCTGGCTGCAGGGCATGTTTTGTTCAGGACCACCTACCTCCATCTACACAGACTGAAAAACCAAGGCACTTTACTCCAGATTTCATACTAATAGGCAATACCTTAGAGTCAGGCATAGCAATACTGAAGTCCTTTATCAGATCTAGCCCCACTATGTCTTAGAACGTGTCTTTTCTAAAATGGCAGTGTGGACCAATCACTGAAACATCAAGCTCAGATTCACAAGTATCACACTGCAAGTAGAAAGTACAGAGCAAACTTTCCAAACTGTTGTGTTTGTTTTTCAAATGGTATATATTTTACTTTTCAGTAATTATCAGCTTTTGCTTCTAGTAAACCTGAACTGCAGCATGTAAGATATGCCTTACCAGTTTAAATATGCAGATACACACRTAAGAAAACAAGACTAGCTTCTGAAAATACTAGTTTTTATTCACACCCCTGTGGTAAACAATAACCTTAATATGATGACTAGGTTTCTTTTGTAGATCACTATGTCACATAAAATACAAAACCCATAGCATAAACAAGCTGACAGTTATGAATGTTTAATGTGGTCTCATTGGGATATTAAACAAGTTATGCTAGTCTTCTCAAGTAGTCAAATTCAAAATGCATCATCATCTCCTAGTTAGTACAACTCACTGCCATTTCTATAACAAAGTAATGAAGGCACAGCTAGTGCAAGCAGACTTAAACCCGTTCAGACTACTGGGCTGAAAAAATACTTTGGTTGGTTCTTCAGGAGAGTTTTCTCTAAACAAATATTGGTCTCAGTTAACAGTTCTGATCATCTTCACAGCTGCAGTCTAATAGCTACATGACAAAGACTTCACAAGAACCAAACTATGTAGCAATGAATTAACATTCATGCTTTAGGGGATTTACTGCATTCTACATATTGGCAGAAAATTATAATGTTAAAATGCTAGGTAGATTGAACCTACATTTTAAACTGGTTCTTAAGTGTTTGATTTCTTTTTTAACAAATTGGTTACTTAATTCTACCAAGATACAAAACATAAGGCTGTAAGTAACTAATAGTTGTGTTTAGGCTATTACAGTGCAGGTAATCCTCAAGGCCACAGACACACTGCTTCACTGCTGCTTGCATTCTGCTGGGTTTTGATCCTTCTGTTGAGAAAAAAGGAAATACCAGTTTACAGAAATCAGTACTTWAAAAGAACTATCAACTAAGCATGCTCTCTCAAGCTGGAATATTCAAGTTCTTCCATCTTTTCCCTTGCACTAATTGTCTAGTATTAGCAATACTGCTGTCTCTGGATGCAGCAACATCCACCTTTCATTTAYTTTGCCTTTGTTAGCATGTCAGGATGAACCCCAGAAAAAAAATCCATTCACAGCTAAGCGTGATGAAGTAGTCTAAAAGACTGGAAAAAGGAGAAGAGTGATATGCAGTAACAAACACGCCAGCTCAGAAGAATGCAGACCCTCTTTACACTTCCTATGGGCAGTAACAAGAGCATGGTCTTACACCAAAAGACACTGTAGCGTAATGCAATGAAATGCCACATCACAGTTCCTAATGCTCCAGAAACACCTTTTGCAATAAATTCCAGTTGTTAAAAAATTCTAACATGGAAAATTTCTTCTGTTCTTGAAACAGACAGCCAGTAATGTCACTGTAATATGGCGAGTTTAGTTGCAGGTTTTACTCCATCACCTTCCTTGGCCTGGATAGCTATTCCAGGACCACAGTGCGTCAGTGAATTCAGCTGGCTTACAGTCTGAGATCAGCTTACAACACTATAGTACCTCTACTATCTCTAGCCCTTGAGCAGCTCTCTGAAACTGTGTATAGTTTTGCCTTTCTCAGTTCTGTTTCACTGAGAAAAGCAATCTCAAATGATGGAAATAAGAAGTCCAACTTGCAGCTGCTTCATTTTGATTCCAAAACTTTCTTGACTAAGAAACAATTTGAATACACTATAGCAGATGAAACATCATCATGAGGGCTGTACATTTTGATTACAAGTTCTGTACCCTGCCTCTGTACAATGCTAAGTTTATGTAATTTTTTCAATAGTACTTTGATAGTAGCTCAAACCACTCCTACTGAAAAACACATTTGAAATGACAAGCCTTTTTAGTGTTTTAGAATATTTCACAGACTTTATTACTGCAACTTTCACCTACCACCATAAGATGCTTTTACATGGCCAGATGTACCTTTCCCTCAGCTATTAAAAAGCTATGAATTGAGTGGCTCATAATCATTTTTCCAGCCTGACTAGGGATTTGCCCTTCCCATGGAATAAGAAAGCTCCCAGCTGCTCTCGGCTGTTCACATTTTAGCACTTGGCTGTAGATGTACTCCTGAATGTCAACTTCTGCTACCTCAAACAATAAAAGACTTGCCATTTATCTACCCAGAAAGAGACTATTTTGTATTCTGCTGGGAAAACCTGTGCCATAGCCAGGTTGTAGCAAGTTCCCAAAAACTGAACCTGGATTACATAGTCCTTACAACCATTTTACAATTTCCATCACCAGTAGCAACTTGCTGCAAGACAAGTTCACAGAAAATGAAGTCTGACTAACCTCAGTGCTCAAAGCCAGAAGTTACTTTTACAAAATGATTCTTGGAGAAAGAACTTAGTAAGTTTCCCTACCTATACTAATCTGTCAGAACTAGGCCTGAAGCAGCCTCAAAACATATGCACCATAGGAACTACTGATTTAATATTTACACTAAACTCAAGATTCGACATAGAATTTTAAATGTCTGTATGCATACAGAAACTTCAGACATTCATTTTAATGCCTTACTTTTGGGTCATAATCAGGATCATTTTCTTCATCTGCTTCTTCTTCTCCCTCCTGAAAGAAAACACTTGTTAATATTTCTCCAGCTTATCCCTATTCAGCTTCCTGAGCCATTTTCATGAAAATTAAATTATACTCAAAAATACATTAATTACCCCTTTATGTTATACATATTGTATTAGTCTGTCCTCCATAAAGCACATCTTTTGATATCAGTTGCTTATTAAGCTGATATCAGCTTAATTTTTAATGGTTGTCTTAGTTTGGTTTGGGTTTTTCTTGATGTCTTACTGACTTTTTTTTTGGACCTGAGATCCACAAAACAAAGTATTCTATCTTCCTTCAGAAGTAGTTCTTAAATTTTAGTGTCCAAAGCATGCAAAAACTAAAGGAACTCTTATTCTAGATAACAAACTATAACAGGGCATCCATCATCTTACCTCATCATCTGCCTCTTCACCTTCTTCATCGTACTAGAAGAGAAAATAAATAGTTTTGATAGCATCATAAATGCAGCCATGTATAGCTCAAGCAGATGTCAGAGACTACTTTGTGCTCTTAAGAAAATCATGGTTTGGGCTGGAAGGGCCCTTGAGGGTCATCTAGCTCCAATCACCCTGCCATGCACAAGGAAACCTTCCACTAGACCAGGTTGCTCAGAGTCCCCTCCAACCTGGCCTTGAACCTCTGCAGGGATAGGACATCCAGCATTTTTCTGGTCACCCTGTTCAAGTCTCTCACAACCCTCACAGTAAATAGTTTTTTTCTAAGTATTTAAGTTAAACCTACTCTCTTTTAATTTGAACCCAGAAGCTCCTGTGTCTTTCAGATTTAAAAATGCTTTTTACATCAGCACGAGCGCTGCTCAACTTCTGCTGCCAAGCTCAGGCACAATAGATTGTGCCTCCTTCCACGCAGTCCTGAAGGATCTGATTACATTGCGGTACCACTAGGGGTCAGCAGGGGATACCGCAGCCCAAGGCAACCTATCCTGTCAGTACCTCCCACCTCCAGCCCCAGCCAAGCCTTTGAAACAAGGGCCAGCAAATTTACATTCTAAAAAGTAATTTTGAGACAGGATTTTTTTTAATCTATTTTTTTATCTTTATCGAAACCATCTTAGCTGTCAAACTGTCCTTGTTKAAGTGAACGCAGGATGCAGAAAAATGTTTAATACCTATATAAAGTTCTGAGGCTTTGCAGTTTGTCAATTTCAAGCTTAGCTTAGCTCTTTTAAAACGCCTAAGCTTTTGCAGAACTTTCTTTGATTATTTTGGCACGTTTTGAATGTGCTTATCTAGTTTTTTTTTTTAATAAAAGAGTACTTTCAAAAGGATGAGGTTTGAATCTCATGAAACTCCATAACCCAGTATCACTATCAACACAAAAAAACAGTTAAGTTAGACAAATAGCCTCATTTGTTCTCTGGCAGCTCATTACAGCTCTACACAATATTGGGTACACCTCTCTAGGAATGCCTTATACACAAAATGCATTGACACTTCTAGATCTTCAGCTTCTACCACTGCTTTTGCCACAAAACTTTGAAGTTACTACTTCAAAGATGAATTATTTTCAGGCTGCTCTTTCCTGAGCAATCTAACGAACATCGGTATATCCCATTCTAAACATACCAATGCAAGAAATTACCAGTGATCTTTAAGCAGAAGTATTTCCAGGATTTTAGTATTCTGAAGGAACATTATATACTTACRTCATCATCATCATCTTCAATAGCTTCTCCAGTGAAGTACAGTACTGACCGGGGGACTATACGTTCACGCAAGAAATGACCTATTTCAAAGTCTGCAGCAAGGATAGCCTCCGAATCATCATCCTGCATAAAATGATATTATTTCCTAAACTATAAGATGGTAATTACTTTTGGCACGTACACACAAGTTACATGGATTTTGATGCAGACAGATTTACACAAATCCCATTACTGATTTTTTTTATTTCAGGACCTGCTTTACGGAACTGAAACTGAGGAGACACTTTTAACAGTCCACCTACATTACACAGTGAAGAGCTGCTGCTTCAGTAAACTTTATTATGTACMATTTTGGAGTTTCTTTTGCTCCAAGTAGAATGATTATTTAATATCTCCCATAGACTTTCAGTTCATATGCACAATAGTGTTAAAGAATTGAACAATAGCCAGGTGAGCCTCTTACAATAAAGATTTTATAACCTATTTCTGATTCCTACAGGGCATCTCCTTCTTGATTCCCATTAGACAAGCCACTACTAAATCACCTGAACACCTGAAAATGTTCTCTGATCCAATTCCAGACTTTCACTCCCTCTTGTTTTCATACAAGTGTTCTGCTGTCGCCCATCTGAACAATTACCTTTGATTCAAAAGACTCATTTTGGTTTTGGTTTTTTTTTTCTCCCTAAACACTATGAACATACAGCTTGTAGTGTTCATGCCAACTACAGTTCTGTCAGTATGCTTCCAGAAGCTTTAATCATACTTCTCACTCAAACTGCATAATATATTCCCTACTGTTAGATATTTTTGGTAGTTTTTCTCCTTACAAAAACATGGATTATTGCCATAGTGAGCACACAGAAAAGCAGGCTCTTTCAGTTTTCTATTCTTGCTTTATTACTTTCTTTAAGACTTAACWGCTTGAGAAATTATTAACAGAATAAAATACAAAGTGGATACATTCAGGCATTAGATAAAATCATCCAAACAATGCCTGAAGGTAGAGACTCACACCACCTATTAAATGAAAGACTAATAATGAAGAGTAAGTTTAGACCAACTTACCAGTTCTCCACTTTCAGGAACTGCAGAAAAAAACAACAAAAAAAAACAAGTGAGTGCGGCACATTCTACATTTAAAGTTAATGTGCATAAGCTAGTGTTCAGCTTACCTTCAGGAGGGCTAAAGAAGTTGAAGAAAGAGTCATTGGAAACGGTTTTTGTGACGGTCCTAACTGTTCCACGGCCCTTATGTTTCTGCTTCTTCTTAATGGTTTTCAAAGTAACATTCTTTCCTTTTTTCCAGTCTATTTGGCAACTAAAGAGTAAATAAAAAACTAATATAAATTACACAAAATACCCCACAGTAAATGATACAAAAAAACCCCACAAGCAGCTCCAGCTTAATACCATTCGCCTTGTTACAAGTATCTACTGAGGCTATCACAACTGCAAGAGACACAGCAAAAATACTGAAGTAGTATTTATTCAGCGCTATCTGTTCATTAGTTTGTATGTTTAGAACAAGAGCAACAGGTTTATTTTAGTATTAYTTCCATCTAGAAGCTTTTCCTTCTCCACTCAATCTCTGAAATGCTAATTTTCATTAGCTACCAAGTAGTGCCTGGTTTCCTATCAACAACTAGTATTGCACCATTTTCTGAGCTACGCATCCGTTATAAAGTAATGTCATATTTGGACACATCAGTAATATGCAGAAGTTCCCCACATCTATCATTATAACCAGTAAATCCTTAAAACAATGCATCAAGCAGGTACGTAGTTTTTGAGTGATTTTGAGTTGTTTGCCAGGGTTTTGCCTTCTTGTGTTTTATTCGTTTGTTTGGTTTAGTTTTAGTTTTGTGGGATTTTTACCCTATCCTGCTTACAGAGTAAAACTATTCCTACATTCTCTAACAATCATGGCATTCTGATGACACATAAATGAAAAAGTCACATCAGTGAAACTAACTGCATTTGTAAAAGTTTCTGATTACACTCCTTTAAAGAGTTAAAGGAATGGAGTGAGTTGCTTTGGGACAAGAAGGGGTGTCTCAGCTAAAAGACAAAACGAGGACTAGCAATTCATCATTTTTACAGAAGCAGTGTCATCCCACACCAAACTGCCAGGATGCATGGTTTTCAAAAACAGTCCAAATAAGGGAAGACAAAACAGTTTAATCAAAGCTACCCAAGCACTTAAAACTCAATCTTACAGGACTTTTCAAAGTATGTTAAGTGACTGAGAAATAAAGTGGTAAGTAAGTCAGTATGAGCAACTGGAGACTAATGTAAGAGTAAAACCAATCCTGACTATGCAGTGATAGGCTGTAACTTAGTTATCACTCAGAAGAGCAGTCAGAACATCAGACATGAACAAAAAAGCCACTGAACAGGCACAAGTATACTCCTAAGGACAACTGTGTACAACCCAGTTTTCTCTTGTCCCTCTGTTCACAAAAACTGGACAAAAAGTGGACACGTAGAGAAAAAATTACTTAGTTAATTTACAACAGAAGATTTCGCTAAGAAAGGAGTGTGACAGCTTTTTTTTTTTTTTCCAGTAACCTGGAATTAACAGAGGACTATTCTCCATTTCTCAAATAGACATTCAAAGACAAACATTGAATACTTATAAAACAAAATGGACAAGCAAAGTATAAGAAGTAAACCCAGCATAAACTCTCCAACACGCTGCAAGTCAGAAATACAGAAAGATTAAAAGAAGTGATCAAACAAATTCTGGCAAAAGCTATCCAGTCTAAAAGATACTAAAAGATAAAAGATACTACTAAAAGATACCACCATCCACCTATCAATTCACCTCCTCTGACTGCAAAACTGTATTTCTAAATACATACTGACTGTATTTTTAGTTTATATGCTTATATAACATATATGCTTATAAACTACGCAATATAAATCATGTGTTTTTCTGTATTGTATTGAAGTTATTGATAATAACTAAAAAGGTTCAGTCAAACCTAGCGGTTCACAAGTTATTAGGGGAAATAACTTTTTTCAGCAGCTCTCTAAGATGCTGTAGTAGTCTACAGCTGGATAATGCTAAGGAAGAAAACTGTTATATTGCCTTAATGCCATCTATTAGCACTTACCCTGTACAACCCATGATTTCTGGTCCATCAAAGGAAAAAGGATCAGAATCATCTGGCTCTGACCTCATTCTATATGTCTTTGTCAACACTTCGTTTGTGAAGTAGTCGTTTGGTTCAAAATGAAATTCTAATGTGAAACTCTTAAAAAAAGAATTGCAAAGCAACAACTTTAGTTATTTACAACAAATGCTTTTAGCTGCTTAACATCTAAAATCAGAACCCAGAAAATACACATGCAACAGAATACACTTTTCTGCAATACACCCATCGCTTATTCTAGAATTTGCTACCAAAATTATACAATAAATCTTCAAATCTTTTAATTTTACTTGATCTTGCATTTGACAGTTATTATACTGCTTGCAGTAATGACAGATCTCCCAGTGTACAAACTTCCTAGTGCTAATGTATAGGGGAACTTCTAAATTTAACAATATTAGAACTTTGGAAACTCTCTGACTTCTGCCAGGGAAATATATGAAATGATAGCAGTTACATAAAAAGTACCCAAAGGTATCAAAATGCGATGGTGAATCTTAAGTCATCAGATATTAAGGCCAATCTCATAAGAAGCTGAAGGTTAAATTTAGTAAAAATTGCACAGGGTAGTGCAAGACTAGCACTAATCCTTGCACTGCTTTCTCAAAAGCAGCAGCTGCATATTTTCTCATGATTTCCACAAGACAATTGGCTATCACAGACCATGTTGCTAAAATACAAATAGTTCTTAAGATAACATAAAAGCAATCTTGTTTAGTAAGTTAAACTTACCATAGGCTGCCCAGCTTCTGAAAATTTCACTTTTATATCTTTTAAGTATTTCAGGATAGGTTCATCATGTTCCTGTAGAGAAAACACAGTGTATTTAATTTTCTCAACATTAAATTACACACAGATTTAAGGCCTTGCAGAGATAAAACGCCATGTTAAGAACAAGTTTTCCTCAGAACAAAAACCTTATTACAACACTGAAATACTTCCATAAACATGACCAGTAGACGGCAACAATGGCTGCATACAGTCGCCAATACAGTACACAACCAAACCCCACATAAACATTAAGTAAAATTTTTAGCAATGTCTAATACACATTTCACACACACTTCTATAAGCATTGAAAATATATTAGTATCATAAAATAGTTCAAAAAATTAAACAGTAGGGAGGTACTTCAGTGTTCTATACTCTCACATGAAAAAAACTACCAGAGATGRCATCCAAGTAATGGTTCCATTATTGCCCTCCAACACAGATATCAAGCATCACAGCGTTTCCACTGCTTTCTTAAAGACACTTTGATTAATTACCAACGCAACTTTAAACAAGCCTGGACCACCACCTACCTGAACCATATCACTGAGCAAGTCCACATTTTTGAATACTGTCAGCCAAAATTCAGGGATTCCTTTAGGATCTTCTTTTTCTTCATCTTTTTTTTCTTCTTCAAGCTTAGCTTTCTCTTTCATTTCACCCTTGAGAAAATAAAAATATTAGGTTTCCCTAATTTTAAAAGTGCCATAAGGTTTATCAGTTCTATGTTGATACCAGTATAGATAAAGTCTCATGTGGATTCTCTAAGCAACCATTAAGAATTAACATCATTATTAATAGCAAATAATCCTTACAAACCTGATTTTTTTTTTAAACTTCAGTTTACTGAATCTTGTTTCATGCTAAAGCCTGGGATATTGATGATAACCATTTAAGATACTCACTGAAATTTCTTCATCAGCATCTGCTTTCCATTCACATTCTTCTTCTGTAGGTTCATAAATGGCATTGATGATTTCACTTCGCTGGAAGATTAAACCAAGAATATTTTCAAATTTTCTACTCATTGCAATCAGCAGTGCCCTAACCAATAAATTTCTAATCCTAAATTACACAATTAGTAATACATTAACTACTTATCAAAACCTTTTCTTCTGGATCTAAAAGATAGATTCAGCAGTTACGAGGTGTTCAACACACTAAAATAAACAGCAAAGTCCCAGGAAAGTTGCAGTATCATCTGACATCTCCTCAATTCAAATGAGGCTGGATAAACTGAAGCCATTTTGGTAATCAAGGAACAAACCTAACCTTTTGCTACATCAATCTTAATTGATATTCACTTTAGATAACAATATTGTATCAACTGAATGAAGTAATTCAGAAATTATTCAGAATAGGTTTTCTGGTTTTTATATTCCCTTGTGTTTTAGATAAMGCTTTAAAGTACAGATCAGAGTAGCATTAAAATACCTTGTCAAATAAGGGCTGATAGAGAGCAGCATACTTTCTTTCCAGCTCGTGAACTTCCTCATAGAACTTTGCTTCTATCTGTGCACACTGAACTTGGAGGTTCTTGAGAGCATTCACACGTCTTTTAACAACTTTAGGCAAGCTGAAAAATTCAGAGACAGAACTGTTACTAACACTGCATTTTCAGCACATATTGATCCCTCCTTAACCAGACCCCTTGCAAGTTAACCAACTTGTAGCACAACACACTTTACACTATTTTAAGCTTTAGAAAGCTTAAATTAAAACTACAACCAACTTCACATCGAGATCAAAATTATAAGCACAGGCTCTTAAATTGAGGCTCAACCACATGTAGAACCAGAGTATTTCAAACACCTTGGTAAATCATGAGAGGAACTAGTGCAATAAATCTTAATTCTATAAACAAGTTCTACATTATCAATGAGTAATAAAGTAAATTAATAGCATTAAGCACAGAAAGGTTTCACCATTAATTAGCTTGGTYTTATGGAGAAGTTCAAGACAGTTGAGTTATTCTTTGCTAAGAAATTTAATGTTTTAAATTTGCTGCTTTCTTTCACTGAGCAACGAAGCTGGTACTACTGTCTTCAAACACACTGTTCYGAAGTGAGCCAGAACTGGTTTGCTGAATGAGCCACTGCATCACAAATGTGTAAAGGAAAGCAATTACTGCATTCCTCATAACTGGAGATCAACTAAGGAAAATTTTGGCAAGAATTTAGAGCAAGTTTTGAGACATGAGAAAACCACATGAAGTACTGCTAATAATATTCCTGTATCAGCTAGTGGTTACACTCTAAGTACAAAATGACTATATTAGAGAGACCAGGCCTCCAAGTATCTCTCTATAGTTTAAATAAGTGATGTTTCGTGACTAAGGCAAAGCTACAAAAGAGATTCCAAGGTGCAGGAAAGTATCACAAGAAGTGTGCCATACTGTAACTGCAGGGGAAAAGATCAGCCACTGTAAATGTTAGTATTCTCTTCTTCATACAACCTCTAATAAAACCTCTTCAATTCTGGGATACACTACAGACAGACTCTACTAGTTTTTCTGCTACCTGAGCAGCGTAGTGTTTTATGACCACTAACACCACAGACAATACTGTTCAGAAAGCAAAAGAACCATTTATAATACTCTGGTCATACTAAACAAATGCTGTACCTTTCTACATATCCTGCAGATGTTCCTACCAGACCATCAAGTCTTTCCTGAAGCGCTGCAAGAATCTGAGGATTCTGCATCATCTGCACAGTCAACTGCCGAGCTAAATTAAAAAAGAAAATTATCTAAGTGCAACATGCAACTTTTGGACTAATCTAGAAAGAAAGAATTGTGCATTAAAAAAACATAAACTAGACAAGCAAGAATAACAGATGCCAAAGAACTGCTTAAAACTGTGTCAAGTTTCCCTACTACCGAAATATGTTTCTGATTTATAAAATCCAATCTCCCTCCAGGATTCCTATCCCTTCTGATTCTCACCTATAATAGCTGGGAAATCACTGAAAATACACATTATTCATCTCTAGATTCCTGTGAGACAGCTGAATACTTTCCATTTAATTACATAAGCCATTTAATTACTTCAGCTAACAAATGTGTTCCCCAAAATTTTGCACTCCAATTCTGAACAAAACACTTATTTCAATAGATTAGCAAAGCATAATATTTTGAGCAAAACGTTCTACTTTACTGTTATTATTCTGTTCAAGCAATCATATAACATGGCACTATTAGCAGTCCATATAATTTTATTGCAGAGATTATTAGTTTTTTCTGTTTTGGCTAACTGATCTTTACATTCCATTTGTGTCCCCAGACTTCAAATATAAAGCATGAGCAAGACTGTTGAGCACTGACAAAACAAGTATTTTGATACACACTCATGTTTTCTGTTGAGGGGGAAAGAAAGAGGATTTATTATTTTAAAAATGGTATCACTAAGCATGATTTGTTCTGTTCACAGTCAAACAATTCAGCAGCAAATTACTAAGCAACTAATCAAAAAGTAAGAGGTACACAGACATATACGCATTTTTTTTATACCCAAAGCCTCACATTTGTGAAGTTTTTAATTGTTTGCAGTTTTGAAATAATCCAGTCACATATCCATAATAATCCTGTCTTTTCCAATTATATAGGTGGCCAGCACTGCCTGAAACTGGTATAAACCATGACTAAAATGGGTAACTGCAGGCAACTAATAAAAATCACACCATTTGAAAAAAGAAGTCTATTCTTCAGAACTTAAATACAATCGTGCACCTGAAGTTGTTTTACCATTTCCTATTATTTTTCACAGTAAAATCCTTTTAACACACTAACTAGTGTTTAAACATCTAAGCAAAATGCTTAGATGTTTAGAAACTCTTGGTTTCAACACTACCTTTGCTGTTGGCATCTTCGCCAGTTTCTTCTTCTTCTACTTCTTCAACATCTTCCATATCCTGTTGATCAAGTTCAGACTGTTCTTTGCTATTAGAAATATTCAATAACAGCATCAATAAGTTAATTTTATAAAATACTATTATGAGCTTAAAGAGATCAAATAAGAGATTATTTGGGTAGAAGCAAACTACCCATCTTTTGGTAGTTTGATCTATGCAATCTTTTGATCTATGGCAAACAAGTTTTAACAGCTAAACAAAGCCAAATTTGTCTTCATAGAAACTTCACATTTGACAGTCTCAGAGCAGTTTAAAGAATTAGCAATTTTCCCGAATGGAACTTTTTACAAAATAATTCCTTCATCTGCTATTCTCATCAACCAGTCAAAGCATCCTTCAGCTCCACATATCTTCATTAAGATGTGCAGGCCTTGAGAACTGTGGGTAAACTACACTTTAAATGCCACAAAGAGCATTCAAAGTGTAAGAAAATACCCTACATAGAGTGAAGCAATAGAAATGGGCAATACTATCTGGTTTTCCCCTCCAGAATTCCAACTAACATAGCAAGCTGACTTGTGCCTTCTTCCACTTTTAGATTTACATACAATTAAGATCACAAACCCATTTATCATAAGCAACGTAAGCTTTTCTCCCACATGCTATAAAACTCAGGTCATGCCACAGTGTTTAAGGTTAGTATCCAGGCCCTGTCTATCCAGTATCTGGAGAGCCCAGCCATGCGAAGTACAGCAAGGACACAGATTTTACTTACTTGTCTATGTCTGCCATCGTTCTCAATTTCAAGCACTAGGGAAAAAAAAAAAACAAAAAACCCACAACACATGAGAAGAGCAGCAGTAAATTTCAGTTACAAACTCTATGGTCACATGCCATAATACTAAAAGCAACACAAACCATATCCGTTTTATGAAAAAAAAGATAAATGCATRTTGCAGTCTAAAGAGTGGCACACCTCCTGTGCACATTTTGAGCTCTCAGTCCAAAACACAAAGAAATACTGAAACAAACTTTGTTCTGGTTTAGAGCCTATAGATCTACTCACACTAATTGAAGCACCGAGTACCAGCAAAATGCCATGTTGAGTCTTGGATCTTAGGACTGTACTAATAACACTGACTGAAAACTAGTCCTGTCTAATATAAAACTGGAATACAACCTGAGAAAAATTGAAGCAAAAGGAGTGCTGGTAACTGCTTACTCATCTCCAGCATGTAAYTGAAGACAGAGTATACTTACAGTTAAATCAGTTTTGGTGGCTTTACTTTTTATCCCAACTTCACAAAACCAATCCAAGTAGTTTCTCAGAATATCAAMAACTCAAGAATATCAACCAATCCAAGTAGTTTCTCAGAATATCAACAATTTTGCAACATTTTACAAAAAAAAAAAACTGATGCTAGGTGCCAGGCTATTTAACATTACTAACTCCAGTGTCCTGAATGATCATAAATTTCTTAGATATCTCAATATAAACATATTCCATACACAGTAACTAGAGACATTACATATTGAGACTCTTGCCAATCTTGCACACCATGAAGCATCTATGTTCTCAAACATATTTCAAAATGAGTAACATTTTTCACCAGCAAAATAGGACCTGGGAGTCTAGTCTCCAAAAAGATGTTTCAGGTAACTCAAAGTCAAAGACAATATCATGCACAAGAAAACACTGTCCCATTACTGCCATCTGCCAGTAATTCAGGAGGCTCCAACTACCAGGAATACCTCACTGGCTCAAAGTATGGTCTCCAAAACTTTAGAGTCTCCACTTTACCTGCTATCCAGTAAGCTACACAAATTCAAGTTTCCTTCAGGAATTTCAAGTCCCTGTAATGCATTCCAAAAGGAATTTAAGCAAAGTGTAGGAGGGATGTGTTCCAGAAAAAAAGAAAACTGCATTTGATCTGTCAAAAGTGTAACACAAAAACACAATCCCAGTAAGATCAGGACATTAACAGTCAATATGAAGAAACATGTTAGAATCTAAACTTCAGAATGAAAATTTACTTTATGTAAATATAATATAAACTTTTTTTTTTAATGTCATAACTACTTCCCAACAATTACATGGAACRGAAGTATCTGATGTGCTCATTTAGGACCACATTTACAATGCTAATTAAGGATCTAGAATGTAATTTAAAAGATCCAATACACTAATATGCAGAAAAGCTAGAGAACCAAGTACTTGTCCATCTATTTCAGAAACATAATACAGTATTTGCTACTAAATAGAATAGCAGCACTGCTATAAACTGAAGTGCATCTAACAATTCAGTAGGWATTACAAATACTCTTGACTCATTTTATTCAGGTCACATATGCCTGTCTTGTGATTTCAGTTTTACACACAGATGCAGACTGTCCATGAAACAATTCCAAAGACTCTCCCCTGAATACCATTCTCAAAGATAGCATGGACTGAAGATCTACAGAAACTGAAAGCATACTAGAGTTACAATATACAGGTCCCTGTTTTTCTTGAACAGCATAACCATAACGATTATTTTTGATTTACAGAACATTGTATCCATGCAAAATATACATTTTTTCTTTTACACACTTCCTCAGCTTTTTTTTAATGCAGGACCATTTTCAAGGAGACTGACAGTACCGCTGTGCAAAGGAACACAAGATGCACAGCTCACCTGCGGGTGACACTTTTTTTTGCAAATGCAACATAGTGATTCTCCTTTGCAGAGAGCAGCATTTCTTCTATGTCTTCTCCCTATCAAATCAAGCTTCAGTTTCCATAAATTGGAAGASAGTTCGTTCAACGAAGGTGTGACCAGTGGCAGCACAAACCCTGTCATCTCTCCAACCAGTGGGCAAATTAAACAGCTGAAACACTATGGTAGAAACCTCTTAGGCAGAGGTTTTCTGAAAGAGCTCTACTTTTACACATCATTTAAACATTTTTTGCCTAAATGAAGACAAGATTGGCTATGAACAAATGATGCCTAAGGACTTTAAGAAGCATCCATCCCATCTCCAACAAGGGCCATTAGCCAATGACTTGGGAAAAAGCAACGACATGGTAAGAATTTCCCCAGAAACACTTCTAGCTTTCAAACATGCTCAGAACAAACACACTGGGTCAGAAGTGCAGATATTTGGCAATGTCATAACAAATTTTCATTTCAGAAGCTAGTCCTCATTTTTCTGCAAACCGTGCAGGTATGCTGATGATACCACTCAAGTTTCTGAGTTGCAACATTCAGCTCAGGGATCAGAATTAAGATTTTTCTACACTAGGCAACTGTAGCACAGGAAATTTCACCAGCAGTCTGGTGTTCCTGAATTCCTCAGTGGGCCCTTGTTTTCACCCTCTGAACAACTACTTATCAGCAACTTTCATCCATCCTTTCACTATTTATCCTCTTTCCAAGATCACTTCTGATCACGCTGAAGGCATTCATCTCATTACAGAACACTGTGGGACTCCAGCATCTGCCCCYCTCTCCTCTTTGCAATGGGCAATTATTACCTCTGCTTTCTGGCTCTTAAACAATCCAGGCGAGCACTGTATGCTTTTAAATTATGGCCCAGTTTACTCAAAGACTCTGAATAACATTCTTCAAAGATTTTTTTTTTTTTTAAATTAAAATAAGACTGTATCAGCCAGCTGTCAACTTGAGAGCCTCCCTCTAGTGTGTTTCTCTCATCCAGTTTTTCCTATTCTCCTTGCATCAGTCTTTTTCATGTCCCATCCTTTAATCTTCCCACCACTTTTTACAAAACTCAGTATCAGAATGTATACAGTTGGAAGAGTTCTCCTGCAAACTGGGGAGATACTAGTGTTTGTCATGACAATTATCTGCCAGCTCTAGACAACTGTTCTTGAGTAAGAAGACTACAAGGCACTGCCAAGAAAATGATGCTGGCAGACATTTAGGCTAATGTGTGCAAGCCACTGGCATGGAAGAGATTCAGTTGCATCACGTTTTATTTACTGTCATTTACTTAAACGACCACAAGCTTTTCTGCAATCACAGCTCTACTGGTTAAAAAATAAACCAAACAGAAACAAAAACACAAACTATATAAGCAGAAAAGCACTGAGAAAAAGCATTCCATAAGAGCAAATAGCCTTCACTATSTTTGTGCAATGCCCAGTAGAAGATCCTGGTCTAGTCTTCAGAGTCTCAAATACAACATATACTAAAATCATTAGATTAGAATGAGAATATTCTAATTAGAATAAATCACTTTAGTATTTATTTTGCAGTATCTCCCCAACATAAAGTATTTAAATATAGTACTAATATCATTCCACCTTCCATAAGACACAACTGTCTTTCCCAGCTCTTTCATAGGTGCATTTAGGTTTGCAAACAGCAGCTGCACCTTGGCATGTGAGCATCAAGAACCACTCATTGGCATCAGTCCCTGAAGTAGTCCCTGGGAGATATCAGTTCAACAGCTGTCAATGCAGGATTATAACAAACCTGGCTACACATGGTGTATTACTTCAAGCCTCAGCGTCTAGGTGATTGTTTTGGACTGAGATACTGCTTGGAATCTAGGCCTCCCGTCTGCAAGAAGAGGCTTATGAGCACAAATACAGGGTAGTCCACATCCCTGTACAAAGCCAGCATGCAAAAAAAACCTTACTAGTAAAATATTTCCCTGTTACTTGAACAGCTACAGACATTAGCTGTTTGAATGCAGTAGACTGCATTACAGTCAAATACAGAGGAGCCTACAGGCTTCACTTACAACATTTTGCTGCTCATTGTAAAAATATGCAGAGGAAAGGAAGCAGTTACCTTATTTGTGCAAGGCTTTAAAGAGAATGTGTAGGAAGTCTGGTTATAAAATGAAAGGAGAAGTACAGAAAAGGAAGCTACAGTGTAAGTTTCCTAAAGGGTCAAATTTAAAACCYCTCATACAGGTACCTTAAATCTGCCGTCCATCACAAGAAAGCATGTTCTTTATCAAAATGGAAAGGTTAGAAACTTAATCCAGCTTTCTTTACCTGCAATTTTGAGTGCATCCTGCAGAATTACTAAAAATTAGTAACCCCCCTAAAATTTAAATCTTACCAAAACAGTATGACAACTTGCTATTTTCATTAGGCCTAAAGGGCACCTGATCTTGTTAATCTGTCACGTTTTTCAAGAAATGGAGTTTGGTACATGCAGAATGTTCATGTGYTCATCCTCAAGCTAGTCATTTCAGTTTTCAAAAGTTTTCGTTTCTTCATTAACTGATTTTGCAMAAGTGAAGATAGAAATACAAATTGTAAGTGTTCAGCACTTCTAATGTCCCCTTTATCCACACAGAAACTAATCTGAGTCTGCACAGAGGCACCAGCCATGTTACAGCTAGGACACAGGCTTTGGTGAGAAGCCTTTTCTTTTCCAGATCAGCTTTACACATCCCAAGTAAGCACACCACTATTAGATTACCCGGACATCCGCTCGCCCTCAGGAAGACAGGTCACAGTGAGGTGAACTAAAAAGTCAGCTGAGGCAGCAAGACATTCCCAAGACACAGTTCCTCCAGCAAAAATACAGCTCTTTTGCACAAGCCCTAAGGCTGGCAGGCTGACAACACATCTCAGCTGTTCAGCATCTCTGAAGATACCATGCCACAAGCAGTACCCTTACCCTTCCTTTCAGGAAACACCTCTTCCCCTTCTCTGGACAAACTGCTCATACAATTACCTTGGAATAGAAATGAAACTTATTTTTCAAGTTGTTCAAGAGTTCACAAATAGGCTTTTTGAGGCTAACAGACCCAAACTACAGCCAAGCCTTGGTAAGTCACATTTTYAAAAG